GGATGAGAGAGGAGAGAGCCCTCCGGACAGCTGCTCCTTAATTCCCCCCTGGCTCTGGGAGCACAACGGGCTGCACAATCAGCTTCCTCGGCTTACCGTCCATCCCATTAGGAAGCCGAGCGGTGGCTGAACGCGGACGGCCGCGGGTCTCCTGCGCGGGTCGCCATAGCAACAGCGCCTTACCCACCGGCCCCTGTCCCTGTGGTTACTGCTCCTGCAGCCACAGTGTGCTCGTAGCAAAACTCCTGACTGCAGCGGCGAGGTCACCTGCTAAGCAGATTGGGCCAAGAATGCATCAAAAGTAGTTCCTATCTTAATTGTAGGCTTAAGTCATTGGTTAGAGATTTCGATTTTTTGTGGCTTGTGCGGCATAGAACAGAGAAGTGAGTGTCTATCTTTGTCTTCTCTGTAGCTGTGTGATGTAATGAGCCTCACTCTTAACTTTCCAGTTGTTCTTTTAGCGAGGAGAGATCAGTTAGGTATTTCATTGATGAGCAGAAAACCTCCCCCCCACACACACACACCAGTGTTTTGTGCTGATATGGCACTAGAGCTGCCGTTGAAATCGTTTTCATAGCCACAGGTGAGGCCCTCGGTTGTGCCCAAGCACTGCTGAAATAGGTTGATCGCTTTGCTGTCTCAGAACAGAAGTCTGATTCTGACTCGAGGATGTCCAGGGTTGAGGTGATTTAGTTGTGACAGTTCTGTTGTCCAGTCAGGAGACGTGCTGTAGCTCCAGTCAGTATTTTAAACCCAGGCAGTCTGCAAGGCAGGACTGGGGGAGTAGGTCAAGCTCGAGAGACGCTTTAAAAGCACAGTGGTGAGATGCAAATTGCAGCTGTGTGCCTCGGAAATGCAACCCAGCACACGCTGCAGTATTAGTGACTGTAGCTGTATGCACAGTGTGTGCAGACATTGACCTGCAGGTGAATATTTTGCATAAACAACACTGCAAAGTGTGTCTGCTCATGAATACATTCCCTGTTGGGTGATCGGCCACAAAGACAGAACTGTTCAAGGCTGCTGACAATCCCCCAACAATCCTCCGTGTTAATTTAATTAAAATGAGAAAAATGGTGGAGCTTTATTCAGCGTCACGATTGTCTCCTTTCCCCTGCCTTGGCGCAGACCTGCGATTGTCAGTTTAATTTTGGAGTAATCTGGCAGGGCTGGTTTTAATGAGCCTCTGATGTCTGGGCGCACAATTTGGATTCGGGTCAGGAGAGCAGGGAAGAGAGTTCGATGGGGGAAAGGAGCACAATCTTCACGCTTGTTTCTGCCCTTGGCCGGCCGTCCACGAGCAGACACAGCTCAGAAGGACAGGCCGCAGGGGGGCTGTGGGAGTGACAGGAGAGACCAGGATGCCTTTTGTGAATGGGGGTGAAAGGAGGGGATCCTGTGAAGAAAGGGGAGTGGCTGAGGAGGAGGCGGGGCCTGGGCGAGCATGGGGGGCGGGGCTTCTCAGCCTCCTGGAAGTTCTCAGGGTGTCGTTTCCCCCGATGGCGGCCTGTGTGCGCGTGTTGGATTGTACGTTTTTCCTGGAGCTTCAGGCTGTGGGGATGGAATCGTGGTAAGGGGCAGAGGAGGGGCGGCTGACCCCTTCTTCAGTTATTGGGGTTCGATCACTTCCTGTCTGGTCTCTCCTCTTCAGAGGGCACTTTCTCTCTCAGCTGAGCAACGCATCCTTCCTTTTCCACGGCCACGCCGGAGGTCTGAGAGCACCTCCTAGAGAGAGCCGAGCTGCCGTGATGTGGCACGGAATAGAAACGGCTTCATGATTAATGGTCTGACTGCTTTTTCAGCCAAACTGTCAGGTAGAGTGCAGCCTGCCCTCGTAGGACTTGTACTGTAACATGAGCCTGTGTGCATCTGATCTATGTGATCTAATGTGAGGCCTGTCCATCCATTTTCCATCCGCTTCCCCTGATTCAGGCTCATGGGACACTGGAGCCTATCCCAGCAAGCAAAGGCACTGGGGGCGAAAATCCGTTTGTGTGTTTCGATACAAAGGATAGAAATGCTGTTAATTACTCTTTGAAGGAGAAACGGTCCTGCTCTGGTCTGTCCTTAGATCACTGAGCTGTAATGTTCACCAGTAATATTTTTAGGGAAAATAGGAAGAAAACACTGCATTTAATGAGTTGTGCTTTCTTTTAAAAGAATGCCGTGTTAAACTGGCTGCAGAGCAAAGAGAAAGGGGAAAGAAAACATATGCAAGCCATTAATGATTAATTTGGAGAGCTGTAGCTGAGTTATGGCTGTGATAATGGCAGGGTAAACATATGGTAGGTAGTCTTGCATAGGCCCTGTGTTCCACGTGGTTCTTGGTGTTTGAGATGCGTTGTGCTGCCACCTAGTGGTAGGTTATCCGGACAGCTCGGAAGCTGTCTGAGCAAGCAGACCACTTCATTAGTATATCTGGGAAAGGCAAAACAAAAAGTTCATGTCCTTTCGTATTGCATCAGCTGATTGGAATTGAAATCTTAAGGTAATCTGCGTTATGCAGGCCTCTGTTTTCATGATACTCGAGTAGGGAGTGCAGACCTGCTTGGGAGGCAGTGAGGCTCTTTGCATTTCTGACCACATGAAATGCAAACCACACCACTTAAAGGACCTGGCAGACAACCCATGCACCGTCTGCAAAAGATAGTTGGTGAGCAGCAGACTGCCTCCCTCTGCCTCCCTCTGCCTCCCTCTGCCTCCCTCTGCCTCCCTCTGCCTCCCTCTGCCTCCCTCTGCCTCCCTCTGCCTCCCTCCCGCCAGTAGGAGTACTGCAAGCAGCACAGCCCCGAGGAACAGCTGAGCTCACACTCACAATGCAGTGCGGCGGAGCCCCGGTTCTGTCGGACCCCTGCGGTCTCTGGGTTTTCCTCCCGCCACGTTCTTGAATTCACGGGCTCATGTGCCTCAGCTGTTACCGGTTTTTGTTTTTACTGTGATTTCACCTCTTTTTTTTTTTTAAACACTTGAATGGGGAGGGTGTTCTTACCATCAGCCCTGTGCAAATTGTCGAGCCCTCCTTCGGGTGTGTGAACATGAAACGGCACCCCCTGAGCTGAAGCAGAAAGGGGAGCTCTGAGCGTGTGCGAGGCACTGTCACCCCCGCCTGGGTCTGCTCAGCATAAACAAGACGCTTCCTAGGCGCTGTTTATTCAGCAATAAGGGAGCACATTCCTAGCTGGAGGAGTTCTGTGTGCTGAAGTGAAGTGGCTGGAAGTCATGTACTTGAACTGAGGTATTTGTGAAACCAAGGCCTGAGCTCAGGAGGTCTGAATAAGCAAGCAGGCCAGTTTCAGGAGCAAATAGTAGCAGTGTCTAAGGGCCCAGCTAGAGTGAACACCAGCAGACTCAGGGGTTCCTCAGGGGCAGGCTGGAGACATCTTGATATACAAGCATGGATGGCGACTTCCTGATTCCCTGTCGACCAGATCAATGTGGAAAACCAATGCAGTAACGCTGTCTGTGGATGGTACTGCACTTGAGTTTCAATCAGAATTGAAGAACTTGGGAGTGATATTTGATCCAGGCTTGACGTTGGATACAGATGTGCAACATGTAGTCAAAACATCGTTCTTCCACCGGATTACGTCCTATGTTGCCACTAACTGTTGCTGTAAATCTTGTCAACACTTTTGGTTTTTTTTCTCGTATTGACTACTGTAACGCCCTACTCGCTGCTGGGTTATCTATATACACACTGAACAAACGACCGCATGACTCCTGACCAGGTCTAGTGCAAGTGATCACATAACTCCTGTCCTGAATTCCTCGCACTGGCTTCCTGTCAGGTTTTGTGTCGACTTCAAATCTCGATGCTCACCGACAAGGCTCTGCATGGCTTGGCACCTCAGTACCAGTCTTGAGTTATTATTGTCCTACTCCCCGCCTCACAACCTTCATGTGCCTCACTCTGGTCTGCTGTCTGTCCCCCGAGCCTGTCCACACTCTGTGTTTGACAGGGCTGTCTGCTGCTGCTCCCCAGAGCTCTAGAACTCAGTCCCCAAAGGTGCCAGAGAGAGACCCCTTCCCTGAGCTCCTTCAAATCTAAACCCAAACCTTTCTTACAAAGGCTTTTATTGAACTGGTTCTGTGTGCCCCTTGGCTTTCCCACTGTATTCCATGTCCCCTTCTACTGTCTCCTCTCAATGTGTTTTTGGTTCTTTTATTTTTGTGGTTCTGTTAAGTGCTTTGAGAAGCCCCTTTTAAAGGCACTATATAAAATGAAGTTTATTATGATCTTGGTGTAACGGACACACAAATGGATTTTCACAATGCTTTTTGCTGATACGTAGGTGTTGAGGACTTGAATTGGATTTGTTAAGCGGATAAATCTGGACCTATAAGCTGTCCTCTCATAATGCCTGGTGTTTTCATCCTGAAGATAGCACACGGAGTTGGACTCATGATAAGCTGTTGTGTATTTCCGTAAAAAACAGTCGAAACAGCTTTGGTTTAGGGGCACGCTGGTGGCGAGAGATGTGTGTTTCTGCGTGAAAGACCTCTTCCGAATCGCATTGAAACTGCTCTCTCTTCACCTTCCGAGGTGAGGGTGGGGCTGACACACTCGAGAAGATCGCCTTCAAGATCGTGAAACCCCACCCTCGGCTGAGAGAACCCCGCAGGGGCGCGTGTCCGAAAGAGGGGGTCATGGGAAACTGCCCACGGGCCCTCCAGAAAACCGAAGTTCTGCCGCATCTGTCTAAACATTCACCCGCCTGCTCTCCCCCGCAGGGGTCTGGAAAGATGAGCCGGGGAGGGGAGTTGTCAGGGAGTTAGCTATACTGTACATTTGCCCTTTTTTTTTCTCCTGCTGGCGTGTTGATGTATGCGGGAACTGGAGACGACGGGGGTGTGTGGGAGGTGTTGGGGGGTGGGGGTCCCCCACTCCGTTTCTGGCAGAGCCAGGAGGCCGCTGTGCGCCCGGCAGAGGGAGAGGCAGGAACGGTGATGTCAGGGCCGGGGAAACGCAGGGGAAACGGGAGGAGGAGACTCTCGAGCTGCGCGAGCCTCATTTCCTGGCAGCTCCGCCGCTCTCCCAGATGTTCCTCTCCTCCCCATGGGGCAGCAATGAAGACGGGATTTGACGAAAAGTGAAGCTGAGGTTTCAGGAACTTTCTAATCCGAGGAGCTCTGGCAGGAAGCTATCTGCAAGGATGTACAGTAGATATGGAGGTACACATCTGCCTGTCATCTGCTATTTGTGCTTGGTTTCATGTATGGAGGACTAGGATGCCACAACAATCAAGGATGTGGACCTACACTCTGAAAAGCGCTTAGCTGAACATCTCTTTGTTCGGCTCTGATTTCTCGTTTTCTCGCATGTTGGTTTAAATGTTTGTTTCAGTGTCGGAGCAGCTGGTTTGGTTGTGAAATCTTTTATCTCTACTAGAACGGCGTGGACTTTAAAAAAGCTTATCAGAAAGCGCAAGATGGCATCCCGTGTTTAAAGATTTCAGGCTGTGTTTGTGTTCGGTGATTCTGTTCAAGATCCTGTGAGTTTGCTGCCACAGCCTGTGGCCTCTGTTCCTCTGTTTGGTATCGTCTGGAAATACTTTGAATAATTATCCTCCGACTGCTTTCTCCTTCTGCGAGTGTTAGAGAAGAAGAGTGTGCTGAATGTGAGATGGAAGTCAGGTCCTGGGGTCTCGAAATCACACATAGAGGTACTGAACCCTCGTCCCCTGTCTGATCCTTTCGAACGGCAGGATCCCATGAGACTTGAATCAGCTGGATCCAAGACTCTGAGGTTGTTTGAGTTCTCATGACACAAGACACTCCTTCATCCCAGAGATAGTTTTAAAGAAAACTGAGCCACAGTTTCCTTAGTTCCTCCAGTCCCTCTTTCTTCAAACCAGCCAGCCAGCTCGTACCCTTTTCTGTGCTGGAGTGTGCTGTGAAATTGTGAATCACTCACAATTCACGTGAAAGATATTCTGCTTGTGGTTAGTGTGTTTTGTCGCATTGTTGGCTGTATGTGGGAGTACATGGTTTATGTTTTATGTATGTGGCGTTTCCAGTTCTCTCTCTTTTGGGGTTTGAGGAGAAACAAAGCCCTCTTTGTGAGAGGCTGGGTTGCGGATTTGAATCTCATCTTCTAAGAAGCTGAGCAATTGCAAATGGGTTCCTAATCCAGCTCAGAATACAGAAGGGCTGTGAGGCACATTTCTCCTTCTTGTAATCTGTCAGCAGGGATGAGGCAACGAAATCTCTCATTTCACCTTTTCCTGACACACCCTCCCCCCTCCTCTCAGTCTGGCTATCTGTGGCTGGAGGTCAGCCCCTTTCTTCTGTAGGAGGGCAGGGCAGAGGTATCGAGAACACATTGACACTGATGGGCTGCATTCTGGGGCTAAATTCTCAAAAATATTTTCAGCTCTTTTGTTTGTGAATCAACTGCTAATGCTACAAAACCAAAAGAAGATTAACAGGACATCCTGGGGCTCTTACACTAGCATTCTGATTGTATTTTTTGTTGGTCGAACCTTAACCAATTAATTGTGTTTTATGCTGCTCAGGAGTATAAACCTGAAAAATTGTGCATGGTTCTGATCCACAGAAAAAACCCCAGAAAGGCTTATGAAAGGTCCCAAGGCCACTCCTTCGCACGTTTCTGCTGCACGGCGCTTGTAACTGAGCTGCTTTTTCAAGGGGGGTGGAGGCCAGACGGCCTGGCCTCTCCGTGCTTGACAGCGGCCTTGAAGTCTTCAGCTTTTCAGGGCTTGGCCAGACACCAAATCAGTTATGTCATTAAATATTTCACTTGAACCAAAGAAGATATACTGCCTCCCGGGCGCTCACAATCTCAGGCAGCTCTCTGCCTCGGCAAGAGTTGAGAAACCATTTCTGGTTAATTGTGCGTGCTTTAATTCTAAATTTCTGCGCACCCCTGCTGTCCTGCGCTGGGATCAGGTCCAGGGAGGACTGGGATGGATGCTTCTTATTTAGTTGAGGTGCCTCCATAGCTCCTGGTGCTGGAGGACTGCTCTGTCAGCTGGGCCCTTAGTGAGTGCTGATTGATGCTTGTAACTGATCTGGTGGCTACTTTAGACTTGTCTTCTGCACTTGGTTCTTGGTTCCAAAAAATACATTATTTCCTAGAACTTCAATGAGCAGACCTTTCTGCAGTATGTCCTCAGCTTGCTAAGAATTTTCTCCCTTTTTAAACAGCTCTTAATAGGTGATGAATTGATGATGAACAGACACAGGTGGGCAAGACAGCTGCCACAGTGAGCCAGCACTGTTCCTTCTGCGTAAGTCCTGCTGGTTATAGTTCAGCTGGCACACCTGGATGGGGCAGCCCCGAAACGCACTAGCATTGTTACAAATCACAAACTGCATCCAGCTTTTTAAGAGCAGAAAGCAAATTTTGAAAGGGCCTCAAATAGAAAACTGAAATACACGAGCCTGTGACTAAGAACGGAGCTGACTTGTAATCAGGCAGGCACAGGGGTTACCCAGACCCAGGACTGAGAGCTACCCTACTGCGGTATTTTTTACACCAAGGCCTGCGTGTTGAGAGAAAAGCCTAAACGAGTAAATGGATCAGTTGTGGGTGTCATTTCGCTGTGGCGGTTAGATGAGAGGACAGGACCGAGAAGCACCGAGCTAACTAACCGGCCTTCCCTCTCGGGCTCTTGGTGCGAGAGTCTCCTCGGGCGGAGGGGGGGGTCGGGGGCAGGAAAGGGAATGGGCTTGGCCCGAGCTCAGAGAATAGGGGGAAGGCGCAGCCCCTCCCGGGACTGGCCCACAGGAAACGGAAGGCTTGTGCAGAGAGGAACAAGGAGGAGTATGGAAGATGGGCTTAGGGCTTCATCTGCAGGTTGCCCTCATAAAATCCCCCGCCCCCCCTTTTCACCCCGCCAGAGGACGGTGCAGTATGCCCACTCCTCCTGGCTTTGGAGCTGATTCTAACTGGTCTCCCTGCAGTGACATCCTGACTTCTTCCAATCTGGTCCACTCCAGCAAGGAATGCTCTGTCGGTTGGTCTGGTTTGTTTGTTTTCCCCGACTAGGGACGTCTCTCCCGCAGGAGAGGAAAGTGATGGCTGCCTTTCTGACTCGGCACAGCACATCGGTATCGGTGCTTCGATCTGGCTGGAAGTTTGCACCAGAGTACAAAGTGTGACACTCAAGATTTGCCTCTTGCAACTCTCTCTCTCTCTGTCCCGTGCCGTTACTGTGCTCGCAGCTCTGGGCTTACCAAGTAGGAACCAGCCTTAGGGACCTGAGCTCTGTGTGGTGAAAAGGAGCAAGTGTAATATTTGCTGAGGGTGTAACATCTGTTTTTGTTCCTCTTTCTTCAACAATGTTATCAACAAAGTTGGGAGTCTAGCTGGTAACGAAAAGACAGTGTGTGAGCAAAACCGATTCTGAATGGGTGATATGAACTTGGTAGAATATCCAGCATGAGAATTGGAAAAATGTCATCTGTAATCTGCCAGCCCTATAAAGAGTCTGAATTGCATCAGAGCATTTCTGTAACTGCAGTCGGAGAAACAACTTGTAAGACACACCTGCAAGGCGCTGTGGTGTTGTATCCTGTATCCAGTCTGCTTTCCTGATGAACACCTCTGCTGTGTCTGCGAACAGTGAAGAGCTGCCCGGCTCTGTTGGCTCTGCGCTCCTTCCTGGTTGTTTACCGAGACCAGCCTCTGCGGCTGTGCTCAGTGAAGACACATCTGTAGCCCGTCCATTTCTTTTGTGTGTGTGTTTTGATGTAGTCCAGTGCACCCAGCCTGGCTGAGAAGGCGCAGGTTTCTTGTCTCGCTGGTGCTGAAGATAGTGCCGGGCGATATGGCCAAAAACATTATCACGATAAAACGTTTCATATTGGTCAATATCGATAATTATCCCGATAAATGTCAAATCATTATTTCTTTCAAGTTTAAAGGCAGATTTTTTCTCCTGAGTGAAAGTTGAAGAAACCAGACAGTTAATTGGTAAATTAAACAACTCTTTATTTTAAGAACACTTGCCAAACAGCAGAAACATTAAACAAATCTGTTAGCTGCTCGGTCTGCAACACGCACGCGGACTCGCGCAGTATTTTGTGTGCATGCGCAAAGCGTAAACATATATATCGAACTTTTGTTAAAATTATATCGAGGAAAATTATATCGCGATAATTATCGTTATCGAATTATCGCCGGGCTCTAGCTGAAGACATGTCTTGACACAGGATCTCTTCTGTGTTAAGCAATTTTCAAAATGATACGCTACAGTATGTAAAGGCCCCGGGTTCAATAATGAAACCTGTGAAAGCAACGAAATGTCGCTGAGGTTACAAATACAGTGATCCCAGTCTTTGAACTAGAATGTCCGAGAATGCGCTCATCAATATATTCATTCTTCTCGTACTTCAACAGCTGTGAACGTGATTTGTCCGTGCTGTTGTGAAGATGCCTTGCGACGCTGCGTATTTCAGTGAGAGTGGCACTGGGGTCCACCAGCGCTCTGTGTTTTCTGCTAGTTTCACCCCAGGCCGCCTGGCGTGTCTGACAGCGTCGTCACACGACACCCCAGCCCCCTCCCCCCTGAATCCTCCCCTGCCTGCGCTCGGAAGGAACGTGGAAAAGCATCTCCGCGGTACCAGGCCCCGACTATCCCCACAATGCCTGGAATGTGCGAGAGAGTGCCTGAAGGACAGAGCCGCCCTTCACCACCGGCTGCTGGGCGGCGGGATTGTTCTGCATTGTTTATTCCCGGACAGGTTGTTCTTCCCCCCCTGCGTTACCCGTGGGGGGGACTGAAAGCCCGGCGAGCAGCAGGGCTCGGCCCGGAGAGGACGAAAAGGCCTTTGCCGCCTCCGAACCTCGGGAGGGCGGTGGAAACTCGGGAAAGAGCTAAGCGTGCGACACAGGGTGTGCCATCCTCTTTCATGCGGCTTTGTGGGAAAACACTGGGATTGTTCTGGAAAAGCAACAGGGCAGCCGCTGAGCCGGGTGGGGGGGGGCTGAACAACGTGACGTGTTGTTTCCGCGCGGGACACTTCGGAGTGCTGGCTGGGGGTGAATGGCATGGAAGGGGACAGAAACCTCCAGGATTTGTTTCCCAGTTCCCAGCAGCTGGGGCACAGATCGCTGAGTTGAATCTGTGGTGCTGGTCTTTCCAGAACACTGCAGGGTTACCAGACCTGTCGGAGACGAGCTACCCAGAGCGTGGCGGTTTTTGAGCTGGTGGACTGAACCAGGTCTGTTCTCTGGCTGCCCGTCGGCTTGGAATTGAATACATACTGCAATTTAGATTTAAAAAATGATGGCAGTGAAGGTTTTCAGAGTCATGGAGTTCAACTGCACTTGCCACTGGCTGCGGTGCTTCTGTACTGCTTTGGAGAGAGGGTACAGCACAAACGCACTTCTGTCTTTCAAAGTGTGGATGGGTTTTGTAAAACCTGTAGGCACCTATAATCTGTGATTAGAAGACGTTTCCAGGGAGGAAGCGAAATGTAATTGTGTCGTGAAGTCCAGGTGGTTTTCTACTAAAGAAAAATGCTGTTTTAAAAAATAGCGTTGGGAATCTTGTGGGATTTCCAGGTTTCCATACAATAATCAAAGGGAGTTATTCTAGTCTTCTTAACTGCTTCCAGTCAGTTCGGAAAAAACCTGTGATTGTCTAACTCGTGTGTCCTGGAAGCGATCCGGCAGTGACCGCCGTGTTAAGTCAATATTTGTGAATTAATGAGCTGGATTGTGTATTCGCCTTGCTTGTGCTCTGAACAGTGGATTCTGCAGTGACTCCAAGGAACTGCAGCCAAATAAATGCTTTGCTACTCGGCTCGTCATTTCAGAAGGCTGATCATCCTTTTTCTGTGATGGCTCCCTTAAAAAGAGAAGAAAGAGGAAGTGTCTGAAGCCCCCAGCGGGGCGTAATCTCTTGGTGCAGAGAGTTGTTGGCCCAGCTGTCTTCACTCTTCGCTTGCAGGCCCTGCCTGCTGTAGGAACTGAATGTGTTTGTTTTGCTGTGCTGTAGTCCGTTCCTTTGCTCCAGTCACTTCCAGCACATCCAGAACAGGGTCCCTCAATTCTTAATGACTGGAAATGACTGGAAGCAGTTAAGAAGACAGCCAGCAGCCATATCACCCTGCAACTCACAACTGGCAACCCACTGAAGCCCAGCAGGTGTGAGCCTGGTCAGTACCTGGATGGGAGACCTCCTGGGAAAAACCAAGGTTGCTGCTGGAAGAGGTGTTAGTGGGGCCAGCAGGGGGCGCTCACCCTGTGGTCTGTCTGGGTCCTAATGCCCCAGTATAGTGATGGGGACACTATACTATAAACAGGCGCCGTCCTTCGGATGAGACGTAAAACCGAGGTCCTGACTCTTTGTGGTCATTAAAAATCCCAGGGCGTTTCTCGAAAAGAGTAGGGGTGTAACCCTGGCATCCTGGCCAAATTTCCCATTGGTCCTTACCAATCATGGCCTCCTAATAATCCCCATCTATGAATTGGCTACATTACTCTGCTCTCCTCCCCACTGAGAGATGATGTGTGGGGAGCGTTCTGGCGCACTATGGCTGCCGTCGCATCATCCAGGTGGGGCTGCACACTGGTGGTGGTGGAGGGGATCCCCATTACCTGTAAAGCGCTTTGAGTGGAGTGTCCAGAAAAGTGCTATATAAGTGTAAGCAATTATTATTATTATTATTATAATTATTATTATTATAATTATTAACCCGACATTGGGAGAACAAGATCATTCTTGTTCTGTAATCCTACACAAAGAACAGGCAGCCCATCGATGCATAGCCCTATAACAGAAGTGTGTTTCTTGAAGTAACGTACGACGTGGTGAGCAGGTGGATACGCAGCTTGTGTAAAGTTAACGATTGAGCAAGTTCCCTTTTCCGGCTCGTCGGGGCTGGAATTGCGAAAGGAGGTTGCCCGCAGCGGGCGGCGGGTGCCCTCGGCTGGCCCCTGGCGGATCTCGCACTCACGTGCCCGCCCCGCTTCTCCCTGGGGGCTGAGTCACCCGCCCCCACTCCTGGGTGCGTCAGCTGGGCCCTGCGGTGACCCCAGAGCGAGCCGCCTTGGAGACCGCCCCTCTCCCGGCCACCAGCAGAGGGCGCCCTGAGCGGGGGCAGGGCCCAGCTGTTCTGCAGGGGGTGTGAGGTGGGGGAGGTCCCTCTCTGTTCAGCCAGTGTGGGGGGCCGTGGTAGGAGGCGCAAGGTCAGAAATGAGCTATTGGCAGGATTCACAGTGTGTTGGTTACCTTCATTGGAATATAGTGTCTCCATTCTCCTGTCATAAATTGTAATGCTTATGCTGCACATATATGAGTAGTTTGGGTCGCAAAAAAACGAGAACCTCATGGGGCCCGGTCCTGACAGTCGGGATCCAGAACCTCACGGGGCCCAGTCGCTTTTGAACCCTTCCCCTGCTGCACTGCTGCTGGCCGGGCCCGGGGGTTCCACCGGAACCGCGGGTCGCCCCGAGCACAGCCGAGTGCTGGGGCGTTTAAAGTGGAGATGATTTTCCTCCCACCCGGAGGCAGTCGGTTTGTGCAGCGCTGGGGACAGACCCCCTCACAATGTGATGATGAAGGCAAGAGTAAAATAAGACCCCCGTGAGGAACTCCTTCACTTCCGAACTGGCACTGTGCACCTCTCCTGCCGGACCCAGCCCTCTCGGGTAACTCGGTGTCGCAGGGGGGCTCTCTCCAGCGACACGGACCACTGTCTTCCCGCAGTGTTCGGACAGTAAGCGCTCTGTTCCTGAATTCCTGCAGCGGCGACGTCGCTGTGGGCTTCGGGGGGGTGTTCTAACAATGGCCCCCAGTGTGTGCGCTGGAATGCTGTGAGTAAATTGAAAAGGGTCAGATGAACTGAGATGCCATGGTGCTAGTGCAGTTTATATAGCTTGGGAAAACAGGGTTCACATGTTGATTCTCAAGTCTAATAAAGCCATGGATGGTAACTAATGGCCCTTTTTTTTTGAAGAGGAAAACCTATTGCCTGTACACACTAGCGGTTTGTTAGCTGTATAGTGTGTTAAACTTCTCTGTTTTGGTTTCCCAGCCTTGAGCTGTCAGCTCTTTGTGTCTCTGCTCGGCTCTAAGCGGGAAGCATGGGGGAAGTCTGTGTTATTCCATGGTACTCTGTTCAAAGTCAGCTGCCAGAGCATGTGACTGTTTCCTGCATCTCTGCTTTCACGGGACGCCGTCACACAGGGTTCAGTCGACATTGTTATCAAACTGAAAGCATTTAACACATTGACTTGGCTGGAGCACTGAAGCATGCATGGCTTCTGTTTATGCAGCGAAGGAGAACCTGTTACTCTGTGCACAGAGGAAGAGGAGAAAGAAAGTGCTAAATCTGGAGTATTGATCCTTTCCGGCCTGAAAGCAGCAAAGCAGGGTAGCTCCTGGAAAAAGATACTTGCAGAAGCACTAGCGAGACCTGTGTCCCGCCATCCGAAGGCTGAGGAACAGACCAGGAGCCCGGGAGTCGGACTGTAACCCTCACCCTGAGGGGCGATCAGCTGCTCCAGCTCGCACAGATTCTTACCTGACACACCGCACACTGGCTCCGACCGGCTGCACGAGCCTCGACAAACACTGGCTCCGACCGGCTGCACGAGCCTCGGCAAACACTGGCTCCGACCCAGTGCACGAGGCTCGTCAAACACTGGCTCCGACCTGCTGCACGAGCCTCGGCAGACACTGGCTCCGACCCGCTGCACGAGCCTCGCCAGACACTGGCTCCGACCCGCTGCACGAGCCTCGTCAGACACTGGCTCCGACCCGCTGC